TCATACGGGAACTGAGATCATCATTGCCAACAGCAGTAGAAGAAATAGAGAGAATATGGGTTTTGACCTCACATTCGGTAACAGTCCGGAAGGAGAAAGAGGTACATGCCGTAAAGTATAGTCAGCCAAAATGCGAAGGGTAGCGCATTTTCGATGCTTATCTAAAGTAACAGGGGGGAGGGAAAAATGTCTATTAAGCGCGTTAAGATCAGGAAGGGACGAATCACCAGAAGCAGAGGAACGACCAATCCAAATGGACTTTAGGAATTTCCAGATCTGAGTGGAATCGCATTTCTCAACGTTATCGTGAATGTGCCGTCTCTTAGCATCTCTACACAAGCGACTACAGCGATTACGAAGGTATTTAAAACGAGCTAGGTTGTCATCTGTAGGAAGCCGCTTCCAGCGTCGTTTCGCCTTATCTCTGAGAGCCATAGCGATCTTAATATCTTGTGATAACCAGGGGCCAGGTGCATGTCTGATTTTAACCCGTTTAAAAGGCGCATGACGATCATAAAGCCTTAATATAATTTGATTGAGCAAAGCTACCTTCTGATCAATAACTACGCAGTCCAACACAAGAGTCCAGTCAATATTACCCGCCTCACTCTTGAGCGCCTCCAAATTTGAAATTTGGAGAATACGAAATTTCGACTTACACTTAGGAAACCGAATTTTATACGAGGGAAAGACAAGATCGTGATAAGAAAATACAGAAGAGAACTGTCCATGGGAAGCACAATGCTCAGGGGACGAGACTATCATAAGATCAAGAAGAGATGGAATGCAGTTGGGAAAATGATGAGTAGCAGACAAAGGTAAAATATGCAAGTTGACGGAAGAAATTAGAGAAAGTAATTTATGGGCACGAGTGTCATTTTTTAGTAAACACGTGTTAAAGTCACCCATAAAAATAGTGTGATCAAAGGAAGGAGAATGGTCGGAGAGTAGACACTCAAGGGACTGAAAGTAGTCGATATTAAGGGAGGTGGTATAAAAAACTGCAAGGAGCACTTTCTTGTGATGCAAGGAAATGTTTAAAAATAGGTGCTCCGCGGAGTTTGAATATAAGTTAGGAGAAGCATCAACAACAACATGTTGAATATAAAGATGTTGAATTTAGCGCATTAAAAGTACCAAATTCGTTTTAGCGGAATAACTCTAAAACTAAAAGGATTAAAAAAAAATCCATAGTGACCGTTGTCGATCATGCATAAATATAATTAATTATCTAATTTTTGTCTTAATAACCTTTAGCATTTCGAGGATAAATCGAAAAAATGTGAAAATTAGATGTCATTTCGTGATTTTTGTCTGTCGAGGAAACTTCATTGTTTTATGTTTCTGTTTAATGTCTGTGCTTGAATATATCGTGTAGTTACTCATACAATATTTTATTTTTGACTTTACAGTGGATATACCCTTCTAAAATCAAATCGAAGATTAGGAATTTTGCCTCTGCTCCTTTTTGAGCGTAAAATTGGCTTTTCTATTTATAATTAGAATTCTTATATTAATAATTTATTCTTCTTCTTTTAAACTCTATGGCTCCATCGAAATAAACGATGATTTCGTCAATGTCGAGTAAAAATTACTACATAATTGATAATGGTTTTTTTAGTAAAATGTCAAAAACTATTAGGCTGATTTTTTTTATTAAGAGTTTTGGCTTGGATACGAGTAGTTTGAGCCATGTCCTCGTTTAATTATCGGGATCCTTATTATATATTTTCCATTGTTCTTCTAGCTAGGATAGCTAGTTACCAGTCTCACTCCTATAGAGATGGCATGGTCAACTTAAATGAACCTGCATCCAAAACGGCATAGTTGCCTGTCTGTGGTAGATGAGGCGCTTATCTGTAAGAACATTGGATTAAGAACCGTCCTACAACTGCGTTCTTCATATTGTATCGATATCATACGCTATAACGCTTGCCATCGTGGTGTAAATCCTTACATACAATCGATGCAAGGTACGTATCTACAACTGTGTAGGGTGGTACGAATATGGGAAAAACCAACGCTAACAGCAATGTCAGGAGGAGATAATTATCTCAACAAAAAAAAAATCGTTTATTTTAAATAGCGTTTGCGTGTAGCGATGCACGCTACACTTGCAATTTATAAGCAATTGCATCGCTACACTTGAGGTGGGGGTTTAAACAACACTTGAAAGTTTGCATTTAAAAATAAGCACATAAACACGCTTTTCAATTTAAGCGTAAGCGTTAACAACGTGCTTATGTTTCAAGTCCCGCCATAAAAATTTATTCGTCAATGTGAATAATAATTTTATAAATAACAATAAAAGTCGTCTTTTACAACTTAATTATCTTAGAACCTTTAGTGGTTTAATCTTGCTTTTCGCTATCAACACAACGTTGAAAGCTTTTTTTAAAAGTCTATGCGCTTAAAGATTTTTCTAAACGATTCTAAGCGATTTACAATGTGTTAGTGCGTGGTCAACTAATTTTGGGATATCTGTTAATCCTTTCAAGTGTCAAGCAATTATTTTAGGTGGATCTAAACAGATATCCAAGATTGACCATACTTCGCTCATTCAAGTAGTTTATGAGAACTCGTCTGTTCCATTCAGTTGTAATGTAAAAAACCTTGGTCTTTACATTGACTCCTCACTAAGCTGGACCTTACAGGTGTCCGAGGTTAGTCGTAGGGTTACTTCTTCTTTACGTTTTCTAAACCGCTTTCGACATTTTCTTCCCATTAGTACTAAGACCCTGCTCGTCACCTCCCTTATATTCCCACTCATTGATTATGCTGATGTCTGTTATCCTGATCTCAATGAAAATCTATTAGACAAGTTGGACCGCCTGCTCAATAATGCTATTCGTTTCATTTTCTGCCTTCGGAAATTTGATCATGTTTCTTCTTTTAGGTCTCAACTTAAATGGCTCCCTATTCGTCAACGCAGACAGAAAAGAATTCTCTGTACGTTGTACTCCGTTCTTTTCAATCCCCACTATCCAGAATACTTGAAATGTAAATTTCAGTATCTCTGTGACTCTCATGACCTCCCACTTCGTTCCATGAATTCACTATCACTCACTGTACCTCTCTTTCGTTCTGGCTTCATGTCAGATTCTTTTACTCTCCACTCGATACGGCTCTGGAACGCTCTACCGGACGCCATCAGACGGTCTCCTAATATATTTTCTTTTAAAAATAATGTTCATGAGCATCTTCTAAATTGTTTGTCACAGCAATAATCATCATCATATTCTGTTATTGTAAGTATTTTGTATATGTATAGTATATTTGTATGTATGTAAGTGTATGTATTATATTATTAAGTAAGGTATTAGGTTAGTTTGTTATATATACATATAATTATGAATTTGTTTCATTTATTTTAATATAACCGTAATATTCAGTTTATTTACCGCGTTCGTGAATTTCGTTTTTCTCAAAGGTTGACTGGTAGAGAATGCTTTTAGCATTAAGTCCGCCTTTTGTACCCTTTGTATTGTGGTCAATAAAGTTTAATAAATAAATAAATAAATAAATTTTGTAAGCTTCAAACTAAATAGCGTTTAAAAAGGACGCTTTTTAAAAGCACAACGTTTCAACAAAATTTTAATAAATGTAATAAGTTTAAAAAAATAAGCAGTTTATCGATGACATCGCGCGTTTGTATTGACGTTTTGCTCAAAGTCGTATTCTAGAACTCTACTCAATGCTCAAGTCAGGATTTGAGTATTGAGTATTGCAGTGAGCACTGAAAATCATACTCAAGTCCTTGCCATTAGGGTCGTATTTCCAGTGCTTGAAATCATACTCAAGTCTGCTCAAATCCTGACTTGAGCATTATTATATTCTATATATATTATATTCTAGAACTCTACTCAATGCTCAAGTCAGGATTTGAGTACCTATGGTTTAAAGCACTTGAAATCATACTCAAGTCCCTGCCATTAGAGTCGTATTTCCAGTGCTTGAAATCATACGCAGATCCTGACTTGAGCATTGAGTAGAGTTCTAGAATACGACCCTGTTTTCTTTAATACAAAATTAACGCAAGTCTGGCCACAATTTTACAACTAATGTACAATGTTTTGTTTATTTGGGATATACAAACCGATTAACTAACTACAAGGATAAACCGATATGTACAATCAATTACCGAGCGACATTATTTGAAAGAAACTGACATACGGCCACTGCACGGTTTCAAGATCCTGAAATTAAACAAAGTTATGGACACATTTACAAAACGACATCGTGTAACACTAGTGATGCAACAGACTGATGCTTTTGCTTCCGCAACCGCGGAAGTTCCGTACGTTTTTTCACATCTGTTTCTGTTTCTGCTTCCGCAACTTTTGTAATGGAAATGTAATAGTTATCGAGTTCTTAGGTTTTCGCGATTGTTACACATAGGAAATGAAACTATTTTTCCGGATTTAAATCGCGTATATTTGTTTTTTCAAACAAACCGACGTTTCGGGCCCTTTACAGGTCCCATGGTCACGGTTGACATTCATGACATTCGGTATAATAGTTTCATTTCCTAAGTGATAGCACACATAATAGAAGATATTTGACCTTGACGATATCCAGGAATCACAGAACCCGGCAAAGAATTTCACACACAATTACAACTGACACATACACACTAACAACTGAGACATTTTTTTTATAATACCAATTGACAGGACGAACAAGTCGTGCGCCTGGTAAAGTCTGTTTCAATCCATTTTCAACAAAAAATAAACAAAACTATATTAATTTTAATAGCATCGTAAAATTGTATTTGAAAATTATTCCCGACTTCTAAAAATATATTGATAACTAAGTATAAACTAAAACGCAAAATTATACTAGCAAAGTCCATGAACGGCTCTACGTCGTTATTGGGACAACTTTCGCCATTCTTCTTTCACCAGCACCTTTAACCGTTCTAAACCGGAACGCAGTATGAATAGCATTACTGCTTGGTAGTGGTGGTAGTACTTGCTTGGACGAACTCTACAAACAATAACTTACATTTGGTCCGCATGATTTGCACTAGTTCTCAAATGGTTTCTGTATACGTAAATATTCTTATATTGAATATTGCAGCTCGTGCAATAGGCCAGCTTCTGTGCTATGGTGGAATTGTGGTTCGCCATATGAGACTCCAGTCTTGACTTGGTTTTAAACGCCCTTGAGCAAATGTCGCACTGGAATTCACGTTTGACGCCATTATGGATTCGTCTGAAAGGGGAAATTGCAAAGAAAATTGTAATTTCATTTTTTTTATTACAATATCAAGTGACGGGACGAACAAGTCGTGCGCCTGATGGTAAGCTACACGCCTGTCCATAGCAGCTGCAGTGCCACTCAGAGCTTTAAATCGCAAAGATCTGAGAGGCACTTCCACAGCGCCCGTCACACTGAGACATAAGTTGACAAGTCCCGTGTTTCTATTTGTTTTAAAATAATAATAACACCTGAATCTATTACCTAAATCATAGGACAAATAAATAATAAAGTATATAAGAGTCATATTACAAACATAAAAAAGATATAAGACACTAAGTGTCGTATTCTAGAACTCTACTCAATGCTCAAGTCAGGATTTGAGTATGGTTTAAAGCGCTCATATTCAAGTCCCTGCCATTAGAGTCGTATTTCCAGTGCTTGTGTTTCCAGTGCAATCCTGACTTGAGTATGATTTTTCAAGCACTGGAAATACGACCCTATACGACGGCAAGGACTTGAGTATGATTTTCAGTGCTCACTGCAATATTTTTTTAATATATTGAGTAGAGTTCTGAAATACGACACTAAAACTTTAAACTTTCTCGTAACTCATTTTCACGTGAAACGCCCTTGTTACACCCAATGATTCACATATATACTTTTGTAGGACAACAAAATAAATTATCAATAGTAATAATAATAAATAAATTAACAATGAAAGATTATACCATGTTATGTGATGTTTTACTACAATGGTATGCAATTGTTTTTTGTTAAATTACTCCACTACTTTGTTATAATTGTATATAAAAGCCGTTGTGGCCTAATAGTTTTACCAACCGCCTCTCCAGCAAAGGATGGGTTTATAAAGAATGTCAAATCCAAGGCAGTACTCAAAACTTATGTGATTATTGATTGAAACTGACATATTTATCGGAAGAACTAAAAAAGCTTATACCAGCACACATATATTTGTAAAAAAGTAGGTTTGTACTAAATTTCATACCTCTTATGAGACTTGAGTGTGTCGGGACCTTTGAATTTCTCCCCACATTCATTGCAGAGCACAGAATGCTCGGCTTTCATGTGTTCGGATAACTCTTCTGAAGTTCTATAAAAAAATGAGGAAAACTTGGTATGTATGTATTAAAACACAAGTATACACATACACACGTCTACATATAAAACGAGCACGCAAACATACATACAGGTATACATAAACAGGTGCATACTCGTAAACGGGTTGAGTGGTAAGCGTACACACAGCCAAATAGACAAGCATGCATGCACAGACATGTATACGTGCACACACACGCACGCACCCACACACAGACGATTTAAAATTTTCAGTTATGATTTTTTATACAATAGCATCCAAATATAAAATAATTATGTACTTTAGTATTATTAACTGACTTCAAAAGGGGGGAAGTTCTCAATTCGACTGTACTTACGCGACATTTGTGAACCGATTTCGATGATTCTTTTTATTTTGGTAAGAGGGTACTCTTAGTATTGGTCTTATTTAAATTTGAAGAAAATATTCCACACAACTAGGGGATGAATCCGGTTTCGCGAACTATCCGGTAACCGATTTCGATAAAACTTGGCAATTAGATGTAATTCCACGAACTTTTGAGGTCGTATTTTTTATAAAAAGTTATAACTTAAAGTAATATTGTAGAAAAAAAAAATAGGTTACACGATTTTTGAAATATGCAACACGTCCAATGAACACAACGTCAACTTTATTTTTTGGTCATTTCCCATTATGTTTGTTAACAGCCATGTTTATATAGTAATATTATGCTCCCCGAATTTTGCGAATAAAAATATAGAAACAAAAACAAAATTGGCACAGTGTTCATTGGAGGTATCGAAATGCTTACGTAGCAACAAAGTCGCAGCATTCACAATGCCGGCAATCCTCAGTGTCATTGACGTGTTTACTTCTGCTGTGTGTCCACGCTGTTTTAATCTCGGTAGTCTCGTATTTACATAGATGACATCTGTAGTATAGGTAATGTTTTTTTCTGTGACACTCTAACAGCTGTTCCGTTGTAAAACGTATTGAGCACGTCGGACAGATGTATGGGCCAACATTCTGAGGAATATAATTAAATGTGATGGTAAAGTTTACCATGGCTTGTGAGTATGATGGGCAGTTGGGCAGTAACAAAATATTATTTAAATTATTATTATTATTTTCTAATCATTATATATTTTATAAATTGATTTATATATAATACAGTAGTTTATTATAATAAAATTTATGTCGATAAGCAGTGATAATGACGATGAGGTTTATGTTTCTTGTAGTTCTCATAGCAGTAGTGACAGTGATGTTGGCTTTTGTAACATTCCATCCCTTTCGAGCACAATTGACTCGGTATTTTGTGACGTTCCCAAACATTTTAATATTATCCATATAAATGCGCAAAGTATTCCGGCTCATTTTTCAGATATGCTGGCATCATTTGATAATAAAAATCTTCATGCTATCCTTATCTCTGAATCCTGGTTAAAACCGTGCCTTCAGTCCTCGTCTTACTCTTTACCAGGATTTAACTTAATTCGTAACGATCGCATTGGTTGCGGCGGGGGTGGCGTTGCTATTTACCTACGATCTCATATACCATTTTCAATAGTTAGCACATCCTCTCAATCGCTATCCAATGCTGGTGAGCACGTTTTCATTGAAGTTCTCTTTTCTCATACTAAACTATTACTTGGTGTCTACTATTGTCCCTATCTTCGTATTAACTTTTTCGCTTCTTTTGAAAAATTATTAGAGGACTTCTCGCCTTCCTATGAACATAGCATAATTATGGGTGACTTTAATACTTGCCTCCTCAAACGAGATAGTCGTTCTTCTTGTTTTGAATCTCTTATAATGGCTAACAATATGACCATTCTTCCACTTAATGCTACACATAATTTTCCCAACTCAACTCCTTCACTTCTTGACTTAATAATTGTGTCATCTTTGAACTTCGTTAGTAAACATGGTCAGTGCGCTGCGGACGCTTTTTCTTATCATGACTTGATTTATCTTTCCTACAAAATCCGCCCACCCAAGGCTAAACCCAAAATTCTTCTGCAGCGCAATTTTCGTGGAATTGATTTGGACTGTTTGCGAAGTGATGCTCGTGAAATTGACTGGGGTAACGTTGTGAATGCTATATCAATAGATAGCAAAGTGTCCGAGTTTAACAACACATTGATGAATCTTTACGACAAACATGCACCAGTACGGCCAGTTAAAATGAAACACCTCCCTGCACCTTGGCTAGACCAGAATGTTAGGACTGCTATGAATAAAAAGCTCACAGCTAAGGCCAGATTTAAGTACAGTCCTACAGACGAGAATAAGCGCATCTATAATGAGCGTCGTAATCACTGCAATAGGTTGTGTAGGGATGGACAACGCCGACATATTCATAGTTCTTTAGAAACTGATGATCCGGCTAAAGTCTGGAAGTTTCTTAGGTCGCTGGGAGTTGGTAAGTCACGTCAAGATAGTTTCCCAAAAAATTTAAACCTTGATGCTCTTAATCACCATTTCTCTAATTCCGTTGCCTTCGACGGGTCGACTAAAACATCTACCTTAAATTATCTTTCCACGCTTCCAACTGCCGACCATCCTCCGTTTTCTTTAAAAGAGTTTACTGATTGTGATGTTAAGAAGGGCATAGAATCTATTTCGTCCAATGCTGTTGGCAGTGACCATATTGGTCGTAAAATGTTTTTACTCATACTTGATGAGATTTTACCTGTGATCCGGTATATTCTTAATTTTTCTATCAGCAGCGGAGAATTTCCTTCCCTTTGGAAGGAAGCTCTCATTACTCCTCTTCCCAAAAAAAGCCAACCCATCTAACTTTTCTGATTTCCGACCTATTTCTATACTTCCCTTTCTATCAAAGCTGCTAGAGCGACTAGTTCATAACCAAATTACTCCTTTTCTCATACGTAACAACCTTCTTAATCCCTTTCAATCCGGCTTCCGACCAGGACACAGCACTGTGACTGCTCTTGTTAGGATCACTGATGACATTAGGTATAGTATGTCGCAACAGCAACTCACTGTAATGTCATTGCTTGATTTCAGCAATGCTTTCAACAACGTTGATTTTGACATTTTGATTGCACTTTTACGCACTCTTAACATATCTCCAACGGTAATCTCTTGGTTTCATAGTTACCTGCATGGGCGTCGGCAGTGTGTTCGCATTGATGAGAGGTTCTCTTGTTGGTGTGACATTAATGCTGGCGTTCCACAGGGCGGCGTTTTATCTCCTCTTCTCTTCTCGATCTTTATTAATTCAATTTCCCGCAGTCTTACCTCATCCTACCACCTGTATGCAGATGATTTACAAATTTACACTCACCGGCAACTTGAAAACCTGCACGAAGCCATTGAGGTAATCAACAATGATCTCCGTCATATTTCGACGTGGAGTAAACAATTTGGTCTTAAGCTGAACGCAACGAAAACGCAAATGATTGTTATTGGCAGCTCTAGAATGGTATCCAAGATAGATTGGTTTCGCTTGCCGCAGGTTATTATAGACGACACCTACATTAAAATTAGTGACAACGTAAAAAATCTAGGTATACTTATTGATAGGCAGCTATCTTGGGCACCTCAATTAGTTGAGACCAGCCGCAAATTGTTTGCGTCTGCCGCATCTCTCAGACGGTTACGTAATTTTTTACCTATTGCCACGAAAACTGCGCTTGCCCAAACTCTTCTTCTTCCAATTCTTGATTATGCTGATGCCTGCTATCTGGATTTAACCGAAGAACAGCTCAACAAACTCGAACGTCTACAAAACTTTTGCATCCGTTTCATTTATGGTCTGAGGAAATTTGATCATGTTTCCATTTATCGTAATGAGCTGAAGTGGTTACCCATTAGACTTCGCCGGAATGCTCATATTCTTAATCTTCTCTATGGCATCTTATTCATTCCTCACACACCACCTTATCTTAAGGAGCGATTTGAATTCGCTCATCAATACAACCCCCGACTTCTGCGCTCTTCTTCAACTCTCCAACTTAAGATGCCATTGCATACCTCCCAGTATTACGACAAGTCCTTTACTGTTCAGGCTATTCGTTTGTGGAACGCTTTACCTTTGTCTATTCAACAAGCCAAATCATTGAATATATTCAAAAATATGGTAAAAGTACACTACCTTAATTTAGTGTGACCTGGACTGCTTAGGTATTTTTATGTTTTGAAATTACGTTTAGAAATTTTTATATTTATAAGTATAAGAATATATAGTAGTTTACGATATTCATATATATGTATTGGTTTTATTATTTATTTATAAATATATGTATATTTGCATTTATTTATCAATTTTTATCTGTTGATTAGTAATTCTTCATACACCGCCGTCTTTTTCCTGTGAATTATATAATTACTTCCATCCAAAGGTTGTCTGGCAGAAATCGCTTAAAGCGATAAGACCGCCCATTGTACCACCGCTTATTTTTAATTTAATTGTATTGTATTTGTTTCCTTTTTTGGTGTACAATAAAGAATTTTTGTATTGTATTGTATTGTATTGTATGATTTACACATATGGGACATGGCGCGGTGATAATCCAAGAGTACTGTTGGGTAATTTTAGGGAAATAAATCCCGAAAAATTCAATATATTTGAAGGCTCATATTATATTCTACGTTTAGAAATTTCTTTTATATCTTTTGAAGTTTTAGTTAGCGTGTTATAACAAACTTGTACAGCTAAAAGCCATTTATAGAAAAACGAGATTTAAAATGATTTCACATTGTCACATCAGCGAAAAAAAATTGGTACGAAGTATTAGGAATATATTCCCTACACTGACCGACAAGAACTAGTTCGTCTTGCACGGTTTTAATGGTTCATCATTATTTTTGGGTCAGTACGATGGGGTGCTAGGACGATGTACCTTCACGTGAGCGAGTGGCTTCCATTCTTATGCAATCCCAGGATTGTATAGGAAGGGAAGACACGAGCCGGTGCATCCTGGGCAACTCCTAGCAAATGCCTGGCCTTTGTCCGGGCATTTGCTAGGCGTTGGCTAAAATGTCGTCACCCAATCCAATGGGGTTAGGCGTACCGTGCCTATGGATGCGTGTTTGGGGTGGAGCCCAGCCGCTAACAGCCCTCGATACCAGGGCACCTCGAGGGAACCTTATGGCCTTCAGCCGGCAAGCGGGGCTCTGCTAGTTGTGACCCCTTAATTCCCTAGCTGCTCGTGAGACGTGTATGGAGAAAGAAAATGAAATAAGCGTTAACACCTTAATTTCCTCCTTAAAGGAAACGACTGCTGGGAAGGATAGTCCACCCTGCAATAAAGACGTGACTTCGGTTACGGCTATGGATACGAACCAAGCTGGTCCTTCGGATCCCCTGGTGTCGGAATCCAACGCTCAGCCGCGCATTCGACTGAGCGGGTCTCGCGGAAGAGACTGCAGGGCCTGAGGAGAACAGGTATGAGCTACGCAGAAGCACTGCCACTATCTGAAAGCCCTGGAGTGAACTTCCGGTGCCTAAGCCATCTCCAACACCGAAAGCGCAAAATCGTGGACGGTCAGAGGTGTCGCCACAGGAACGCGTAAGGAAGGCTCCCAGGACCATGGCGTCAGCTGAAAGCAGGAACAGACCAACTTTCAGCGAAATGGCGGGCTCCCTCCGGGAATTTGGAACCATGTCAGAGAAGCAAATGGAGCTGGTGGAGCTGTTTCTGGTTCGCACCATAGCGAGCACAACAGCGCATGGCGAGGGACCAAAGTTCCTGGGCCTCTCTCACAAGCCAGGCTGGATTCTTGTGACCTGGAAGGATCAAGCAAGTGCAGACTGGATTGTGGGAAAGATCGGCAATTTGAAGCCGTGGCCGGAAGCCCAGCTGTCCTTGATTAAGGAAAGCGTGCTTCCGAAGCCCACCACCGCTACCACTTACATTCCCAAGAAGGGATGTGAGTCGGTGCAGATGGCCATCAGCCTGCTGGGGGCCCAAAATAGAGGTCTCCGCACTGAGGTATGGAAGATTCTTCACGCAAGGGAAAATGCGAACGGATGGGTAGTCGCGTTCGCTCTTGATGAAATCTGTGGAGAATCTCCGTGCCTCAAATTGCCGGGCACACCTTGGTTTTAAACAGGTCACGTTTAAGATTAAGGGGTGTCCGGAAAGCACTTTCAGCGGCGGCACTGCGCGGGGTGCCTCGGTTTCGAAACCAGGGTCGGTTATTAGTCCGCTCAAGGAAACGGGGTCGTGAACCTCAGCGCAGATGCCCGCGCCTGGCCGTTCTTCCACGGACCAGAGAAAACATGACGGGGCTGCCCCGTCTGCGACTCTGGGGGCATCGCCCCAGAAGGGTGCCAGAAGAGTGCAAGGGCGCGGGGCTGCCAACCCGCGAGGCTCACGAGGACCGCCTCGTAGCAGTCGGGGGCAGCAACGCGGCCGGGGTTTTAATCCCCGCTCGATGGCGCTCTCGAGGGAAAGGGTGAGGGTTCTCCAAGCAAACCTCCATCGTGCCGTGGCTGTGGTGGAGTGTTGCTTCGCGAAAGGCAATGTGGATATCGCCCTCATTCAGGAACCCTGGGTTAACCACACAAACATAATGGGACTCAGTGCCGCTGGTAAGTTGATCTACAACACTTGTGGAAGTAGACCCAGAGCCTGCATTGTTTATAACAAAAACGTTAACCTTATGCCTATTCCAGAGTTCTGTACTGATGACTTTGTAGCAGCATATTTATTTCCCTGGAATAGCCCTCGGGTCAAGATAATCTTATGCTCAGCCTATCTACCTGGAGAAAAGAACAGCCCCACGGAAGATATGACACGACTGGCGGAATACGCTCAGAAACACAAAGCAGAACTTCTGGTGGGATGTGATGCCAACGCTCACCACACCGCTTGGGGGAGCTCGGACATCAATAACAGAGGTGAGTTACTATATGACTTTATCCTATCAAATTGCCTGTATCTTAATAACGAAGGATGTACACCAACTTTTGTTACTAAGTCAAGACAAGAAATTCTGGACTGAAGACATTACTTTCTCTACGGCTAGACTAGCCGGACTTATAACCGGCTGGCATGTTAGTGATGAGACGTCAATGTCGGATCATAAACATATAAGATTTGATCTGGGAGCAGGAGATGTCTGCCACCACTACATTTAGGAATCCAAGGGACACGGCCTGCGACGTCTATAGAGACAGAATAGGGCACTATCTACAAGGGTCTCCTAAATCGATCAAAACCACTGAGACGTGACGTTAGCTGTTGAGGTCACTACCAGGGGCAACATCAGCGCTTTTGAGGAAAACTGCCCACCAAAAATTCGGACCTCCAATAGGAAAGTTCCGTGGTGGAATGCCAAACTGAGAAAGCTAAGAGAGAAAAGTTGAACAGTGTCGAAGTTGTTGCATGAGAGGATTATCTCAGCATTTTATACTGTGAGACAAAATGTGTTTGTGTTGATCAATTTAAAACAAAATTTACTACGACGTGCTAGACTATGCATTGTGGAAAATGGTGGACATTTCGAATACTTGCTCCGTAACACGTAAGTGTAAATAAACTGTAAATAACTAAAAAAATCAATCATTGTAAGTAATTTGATTTCACATTTTTAACTACGCCAAAAACTTCAATTCTTATTAAGTGATAACTTAATTATCTTTTTTAGTACGTAAAACATTTCGATGATAGTTCATAAGTAAAAAATAATTAACATAAGCTAAAACGTAATCATTTCGATAACAGCTTTTTCATCATAACATAAATGAGTAGGTGAGAGAGAAATGTGAAATCATTGTTATTGTTGCTGTCTCACTCGGCGCTCGTTTGGTAGTATTCCCAATGCACTCGAAATCAAGCGTAAAGGGAATCGGTTGAAAAATCGGTGGAAAAGTAACATTTTTTTGGTAGGTATCTCTATGTATAATATCAACCTACGTGTACGAGTATATGAAATAGTTGTACCTAAATATTGACTTTTAAACACACCATTCTACCTAAAATTCTTATTTTGTAAAAGAAGGATATTTAGTTAGTATGACAGTCTTTAAACCTGTAAAATATGAAGGAAAATCAAATAGTACCGATTCCATACAAATTGCATTTTTAAATATTTAGTATAGTGTAGTATTGATCTTATAATACTAGAAGTCCGTAGTAGTTCGTGAATAAAATTACTAGTTTGGAGTGTTCGTTCAATGTCCGAGCGAGTCTAGTTCCTTAGTTAGTTAGTTCTTGTTGTCCTTACAACAAGAACTAACTAACTAAGGAACTAGATGAACTCGAAGACCGACCCAGTTCAGTTGACCGATTGAACTAACTAGGATCGCTCCCTCTAAGGACCGATCAGGCACAAGTCTAAAAAAATCCTTATGGCTTCATCGTTTTCGTTCAGGAACTTCAACTTTTGACAGGTGCCAATGTCAAATATGGAAAATTAAAGGAAAAATGGTAACCTATCACAAACTGGAATTTATTTTTTCCGAAATAACGTTTGTTCGAATTTTCCATATGTAATTCCACGTACTTTTGAGGTCGGTTTTTTAGTACTCTGTACCGAGATTATTTAATTTCTACGTTTTTAAGTCGAATTTTTGCTGGACATGTTTCGAACCATCGTGGTCCTTATTCATGCCAGGACTTTGGCGCGCAGTTTCCGTCGAGTCACCGCCGCGAAACCTCATGAATGCAACCCCGATTTATAAGTAGGTGTTTGGCAATTTTCAAATCATCAGGAAAGATACCTTGTTCCAGGCAGCGATTTATTATATTGTAAGTTCACCAGATATCTGCTGCTGGATACGATTGATGATTTTTGCAGTTACGTAGTCAACAAGCTCGTGTTTGTATTCAAATTATTTATTATAATTAAAATTTCATTGGGTAATGTTATATTTAAAGACTATAAAACACATTTTATTAGTGTCAACGACCACACCGGTATAAGTCTTGTATTTTTTTTTTATATAATATCATGTGACGGGACGAACACGTCGTGCGCCTGATGGTAAGCTACACGCCTGTCCATAACAGTTGCAGTGCCACTCAGAGCTTTAAATCGCAAAGATTTGAGAGGCACCGCCACTGCGCCCGAGACCCTGAGACATAAGTTGACAAGTCCCATGTGCCTGTAATTTCACCAGCACCAATACCCTTCAAAACCGGAATACAGTAATGCGGACATTACTGGTTGGCGGCAGTACTACCCTGGACGAGCTCTTTCACAAGGACCTCTACTGCTAGTAAAACATATGGTACACTCCAAGGGCAACTTGTGCCAGTCTTGCACCAACAATAGAGAAAAAAGCCTGCTCAAAAAAAGTTCACGGCCTGTTGGGAGTGCCAATTCCACAACTAACCAACCAACTATTAATACAAAGATCCGATCCGGCTGGATTCGAACCAGCGTCTTCCAGCAAACCATGCCAGATGCTATTCAAACTAAGCCAGGGAACGAACTAGCGGATCTTACGAATTTTTCTATTTTGCACATTTTTGTTTTTGGTTTTTACGATTTATTTGTCGCAGTGTAGTAAAATATGAATATCATTAAAAAATAAATGAAAATTAGTGCACAAAGTCATGGAACTTAAGTTGTTGTTTATGATGTTATTAGTATAGTCCTACGAGGTTGTTAGCATTTTAAAAATAAACCTGTGAAAATTACTTTTAACGTACCACATCGTGTTTCTTTTCCATATGGTAATAATAATTTTCTTTCTTGGTAAAGCCGAGGACACACATATCGCATTTAAAAGGCAGTTTCATATAGTTAGGCTGGTTTCTCTTTTCCTCCCTATAAAATGAAAGATAAATAAGTAAAGCATTATAAATAGATACAATAATAAAATTATAACGGACAACCACACCAAACATCTGGTCTTAAACTAAGGGATAATGAGTAGGTACCAGAGTAAAGGCATTCACTCCAGGATACTATCTGGAACACCCAGACCAGAATCTATTTACAAAAGTTTATGGATTTTACCGGCCTCCAACCCCGGTATCCCCTCAATCAGCGCCTACAGTGCACACCTTTGGACCACCGATAAGTACACGATCCAGGGGGCCTTACCATGAACTCTTATTACAGTTCAGTATAGGTTCGTAACGACAAAAAAGCGGGATCTCTCACAATTTATTTTAGGTCCAGAAGTAAATCGTAATAAGAGTTCATGGTAAGGCCCCAGAACTCCCAGACTAGAACCAATTTAGAAAAGTTTATTTCCTGCCGGGAACCTACTCATTCAGTGCAAATAGTTGGGCCACCAAGATTGTCCGTCAGATGTTGAACCCGGAAATTAGGTTTTTGGGTCCAACTTCACTGAACTCCCAATTTACAAGCAGATTTAGAAATAATAACCAGTTGGTGGCATCTATTAGATAGACAGATAACCACTTTATTCATTGATATAACAACAATACAAATTAAGCATAAAAGAAAAAGAACATGATTGTCATAGCAGTGAAAGGAAGCTGACTCAGCATATGCCTAAAGTTTCCTATGGCGCTGGTTTTCAGTCATGAGGATTAGGTAATCAGAAAAAGAGAGATTAAGTAATTTGAATGCAAAAATATAATGGCTATGCGTAAAGTTATACAATGTGATAATAATAAACAGGGTGTACATTTGAGACGGAGGAGCAAGACTATAGTCGTCACAAAATAATAGATCATATTTGACACATGTCATCGCA